CACACACACACACACACACACACACACACTGTTTACTGTTTACTGTTTACTGTTTGGCAGTAAATTTGCTGCAGCTGCAGGATGTCTTGTAACTCACCTAGTGTGACAGACTTCCTTGTGCCACACACACACACACACACACACATTAACCTGGCATGGTTCTGCTTCTGTACAATTCTGCTTGCTCTCCCCTGAGCCCTCCCCGACTGAAAGCATGATTTAAAAGGAGAAATCAAACCACTTCCCATTACAGCGAGAACTTTTTGGGCACTAGCCTGCCTCAGCGACCAGCTAAAATAAATGGGCTCAAACGTGGCACAGAGTGTGGTGCATCTCTACTGTTCTAACTTGCTCATCCACAACAGTATCCAGATTTTTCAGCCTTCAGACTCTCACTGGTGACTTTCCAGGGAGCTTCTGGTACTCTTACTTTAGATTCATGTTCTTTCTTGTTCTCTGATCTCCATCTTCTTCAGATAAGTAACTACTGGATCCTCTGCATCTCCAGCACATAGACAGCCATTGGGGACTCCCCATGTCTTATCCTTTAAGCCTAGTAAATCCCATTGCAGAGTTACACAATCTTTTTCTAGAGATTCTATTCCTCTGCTCAATCCTACCTAATGCATTCTGTTTCCAAAATGCCACCCAAAAGGCCAACTGTGTCAAGGGACAGTTGTCAGCTGATGGGGCTGGGGAAGCAATTGGATCCTGATGGATATAACACCATCAAATCACTTGGTGGATGCACTTGAACATTTTCAATCAAAATTGGCCAGAAGAAACATGGTCACAAAAATGGCAGAGTAGTGTGTTCCAAGTTATTGTTTCTCCACAAAAGCTTTGAAAAAATAACCCAGACCTGTATAAAACAACTTCATAAGAACTCAGGAAAACAGCCAAAAGTTTGCAGCAAGCAAACAAATATCCAAGAAAGACAAAGTATTCTTCAACACACTAGAAAGGTTTTGTAACATCTTTAAACACCTTTGCCCCATGCTTCCCCTGGGCAATGGCAAACCAGTTCCCGGGCCTCTGGACCCCCTCCAAAATAAGAGCACAGAGATTAGCTTATTTAAATTTTGTGCACAAGTCTGCTCTAAGCTTTCTGGAAGATGCCTGAAAGATATGTGTCTCTGTTTTGCTCAAACAGGAATGAAAGCAGACAAGGTAGGAGGCACTGCGCACAATAGCTGTAATACATTTAAGTGCATACCTAGGACAAGGATTACCTATGGAATCAAAATATCTAAGGCCCAGAGAAAAGTGTATGGTGAAAAATCTTCAAGAAATTAGAACTCAAAAAAAGATATGTATACAAAAGGGCGGGTAAGGCCAAACACAAGCCCATTCAAGATGTACACTCAGAAGAGTTCCATTAAAAACCTCAAGCAATCACTTTGGCCCAAGGCATACTTTACACCAGGTAGCTAAGCAGAGATGGAGCCTCCAGGCTCAGAGCTGACTGCAAAGACTGAGAGCAGGTGTGCTTTCTGTGTGCTCCCTCTGTGTTATTGCTTCTTCGCTTCTTTGTTTTATAGCCTAGCATTTAAAGAAATCTCTGTCAAACATGACATCATCATGTTAAGTGAAATAAGTCAGGCAGAGAAAGACAAATACCACATGATCTCACCCTTACGTGAAATCTAAAACATTACTCCCTGGAATTAGAGGGTAGAAAAGCAGTTCCCAAACCCTAGAAAGAGTAAGAAGAAAGAAACATGGAAAGAGGTTGACAAATACTAAGGCACAGCTAGACGAGGAAAATAAACACTGGGGTGCTGTTGTGCTCCACTATCAGGTGACTAGAGATGATGGTGCTATGCTGTATACTTCAGAAAAGCGAGAAGAGGTGTGGAGCTCCTTGAGACACCTAAGGGGTCAGTGTTTACTCAGGTTGATGGGGTAGGGAGACAGGAGGCTGCTAACTATGAGGTGCCAGAACATCCTGAAGACAGGATGATTTACCACCTTGAGCAGAGATGGGCCTTATGGGGAAAACAAGGAAGCTCCCTAGGGGACAATGAGAGTAAAGTTAATAATTCCGCCAAGCTGGCACCATACCTTGCTAACCTGGAGAAATCTCTGTGCTCAGCAGAGCACCATGCCTTTGTTGTCCCTCAATAAATCTGGGCAGCTGAGTCAGGTTGGTACTTCATTTTGGTGGAGTCCCCTGGCCTTCCGCAAAGATACTCTCTGTGTCCCAAATTTTCGCTTGTCTCTCTATCTGAGTTGCTGGCCCAAATCCAGCAGAAAGGCTTTTGAATATTTTCACCATAAAAATGATAAATGCTTGAGGAGATGATATGTTAACATGAGCATGTTTATAGATATGTGCTGTGAGGGGGGCACCCCTATAATCCCAGCACTCAAGAGGCTGAGGCAGGAGGATTACCATGAGTCCCAAGCCAGCCAGGGCTACCTAGTGAGGTTAAGGCCAGCCTGAACTATATAGTGAAATCCTATGTCAAAAAAAAAAAATTAAAGTAAAATATACATACATCAAAACATCACATAGTACCTCATAAATATGTATCATTTGGGGGTGGATTAAAATCAACAAATTGAGTCATACAGGATACTTATTTATCCCCCAATATTGTAACTTCAATGTGTTCTCCATAAAGCAGTGCTCTACACAGAATTCACATGCAGCAGTGTTGAGAAGAGGGGCCTAATAAGGGCTAGGAAGGGCTCACGAGGGCTCCATGCATGCGTAGATCATGCTGACTATAAAAAGACTGGAGAATGCAAACTGCATCTTTTGCTCTGTGGTGTGCAAATGCTTTCTTGTCTTTCCATATACTTCATAGGATGACATGGCAAGGAGGTGCTCATCTTACACTTCCAGGCCACCAGAACCATAAGAAATAAAGCCCTGGTCTTTGTAGACTTCACAACTGCAGTACTCTGTGATGGCAGTACACAAAGGACTAAGAAAATTGGTACTGGGCAGTGGGACTATGACGATAGCAAGGACCAGAAAATGTGGAAGAATCTTTGGGACTGGGCAATGGCAGAGGGTGGGAAAATTGGGAGGAACAGGCTAGAAACAGCCTAGATGACTATGAATGAAGCTTTAAGGGCGATTCCGTGGAGGATTCAGAAGATGAGAAATGTAGAGAAAGTGTGGAACTTGTAGTTGTGACCAGGATGCTGCTAGAAACACGATCCATAAAGGCCATTCCAACACAGTACCAGATGAGATTCAGAAGCGGGGTATTGGGAACTGGTGTAAAGGACATCCTTGTACAGCCGCAAAGAGTGTGTAACTGTGACTGTATCTTCAGGCTACACAGAAGGCAGAACTTAGAAGTGATGAACTAGATTATCTGGCAGAAGAAATTAAGCAGAAAAGCATTCAAAGTATGATACGGAGGTGGCTTGTTGGGATGCTTGTAGTAAAATATCAGAAGAGAGAAATTATTTAAAAGCAAAATTTAGAAGGGGAGGGGAAAGGAAATAAAGGAAAAGAAAAAAATGTGAAAAAATGAAAGAATGGAAACAAAGTCTTTGTAAATAGGGAAGGGTGGCAGGGTGAAAGGAGGGCCTCGGAATGGGGAAAAAATGAGAGCCAAGATAAGTCATGTAAAGGTACAAGATCGCCGTGATGAATGTAACTGTACTGTATACCTAAAATGTACCAATAAACTTAATGGGAGGAAAAATAAGAGCAAAATTTATACTTAAAAGGGAATGGACAATGTGGGAAATTCTCTGCTTTCTCATGCCATCAGTGAAAAGACCCCTGTAGGAGAGCAAACAAGGGATGTGGCCAAGTCCCTTTTGCTAAGGATATTACTGTGGACAAAGGGGACTTTGGGGTTAAACATCAAAGCCCCAGGAAAACAGCCCCAAAGACATTTCAGAGAACCCTGAGGCAGGCTAGGACCATAGGCACAAGTTTTCCTGAAAGGCACCCATAGGACTTCAGCATTCACTGCACAGGGCCACACCGGTGCTCAGCTCCCCAGAAGACAGAGCTCCTAATGGCCCAAGCTACGTCTAAAGCACGCCAGACGGTAGCTGTGCCATCACTCCAGAGGGTGAAACAAAGCGGCCTCCGCCCATATTCCCCAAGTATCCAGTTTATCTTGCTGTCTTCAAGGTTCGAAATATATGCTATTGACTACAATAAATAGTTGTTAATCTTATTTTGAAGTAAATGTTACATCATGAAATGTTTACATTTCTGACACTTTGGAGGAGTTTTGAAAGATGTATTGGCCCTTGTCAAGGAAGCCTTTCCATCACCCTAGAGTACCCCTGAAGGCTCTGCCAGTTTCCTTCTCTACTCGTCCTGGGGAGCAGAGGGGAACGGTGCGATCTCCCAGGTCTGCTGAGGGCTCTCACGGCCCAGGCTGGGGTGGGCCAGGCCGCCCTGGACTGGCTGCCCACCAGGGATAACTGATGCCTCAGCCAGCTGCAGCAGCATCGACAGGGCCGCATACAGCGCAGACAAGGGCTTCTTGGCGTCCAGATGCCAGGTTGACCGGGGGCTCCTCAGCTCCATCTTTAGGCCACACTCCTCCAGGAGGGCATAGGTGATTTGCATGTCCTCTTCCTGCAGCAGGGCCAGGAGCTCGGCTGGGAGGGTGATGGGGATGTGCCAGGGGTACCTGAAGTTTGGCTCTAGGATGCTCCTTACCTAGGAGAATTGACAAATTGTACAGAACAAGCTTGGCAATAGAGGAAAGACACTTTCTGTCTCAACATCCACATAGCATCGAAGATAACAGAAGAGGCAGGGGCTTTGGGGCCAAGCTTTGGTGTGACCAAGTTATTGTGCATTGGCTCCTCATCTACAAAAAGGTGGTAGGTAATAAGCCTACCTTGTAGAACAGAAATGTTGGGAGCCTAGAATGTGTACATATGTATGTATTTCTGTATGCCTATACACATGCATTTATAGGTACATATCAGGGGAACAAAAATGTTTAAGTTTTTAAAATGTACAAGACATTTTAAATGTACAAGCCATTAATCCTCTTTAAAATATTCCTCCTCATTTGCAACACATGGATCCTATCACTCTTTCCAGTTCCAAAGTCGTCTCTCCTAGTGTCTTTAGTAGAGCTATTCTGGCTGCTTTGCTATCCTGAGTACATTCCAAGTAGTTGCCTTCCGTGGTCGTTTCAATTTTGGGAAAGGACCAGAAGGTGCACAGTGCCAGGTCCAGTACACAAGAATTATGAGGACCCTGTCACATTTTTACCAGTCTGTGTTTTCATTGGATAGAATTCAACAGTAGCATAGACAAGATCTTAATCACACCTCATAGAGACACTCAAGAAAGAAGACTCCAGAACAGCTTCACAAAGTGGTAAGAATAATGGGATCAGTGTGTTTGAATCAAGGGTAAGTATTTGGGGATGGGGGTGATGAATGGCAAGGATTTTTTACTGTGATAATTTTGTAATTTAAATATTCAGTGTATATCTTCATCACGCCTCCTATGTGAAGAAAGAACAATTTGAAAATGGAAAATTTGTGATATTATCAGGATATATATTACATCTCCTTAGGTCTCAAAAACCTGGTCACTTTAGACATGTTCGGACCAACTGCAGGTAATTCTATGAAAACAGAGACACTCCAGATGCAGGCTCAGGCTAAGAAGGCAGCTCTCCAGAGCCCAGATTTCCCATGACCATAATGGGATCCCATCTCCCCTCCCAGGAAGACCTGGCCCACCTCTCTATTCCCAGAATCATCCCTACCCCCGGTTCCCACACTCTTCTCCCAAGAGTGCTAGACACTCAGGATATCTCACCAGCTCTTGTTGCTGAGACAAAATTCTCTTCTCCACAGCCTGGGTCAGCAGAACAAGCTGGGTGTCACTCAGCTCTGGGGAAGGGGACATGATACAGAAAGAAAGTGAGACAGAGTCTAGATATTTCTCTCACCATGAAGGAAACCCAGCTATAAGGGGACACTGAGATCAGATAATGATCACTGTTATACTTGGGGGTAAAGCTCCCTGCACTCAGAGGTCCTTCTGCTCCAGAGATGATCTCCAGGATGCTAAAGCACATGGTCCAGAGGGTGGGATCCTGAGGGTGGAGGCTGGAGTCATCTGCCTCAGGAGATGTGATTTGATCAATGGCCACTGCTTTCTGAGCCTCATGCTCAGTGTACGTCACTTGAGGAGTTGTCACCCTCCTGACCTTAGAGAGACGGGTTATCTGAGAATGAAGAGTATCATAACTGAAGGGCTTTAGAAAGGTGGTGTCTAATGCTGCCATGCAGGAGATCTAGAATACAAAGTGAGGACTCTCCCACATTTTCCTCAAACCCCTCTTACCTAGTAAGACTTCCAGGAGGTAAAAAATGAGGTACCCTAGGTTCACCCAGGGAGGGCTTGATTCCTGTCTGAGTTCATTCAGGATCTTGCCACCAGGGCCTTCCAGATGACCCAAGTTGTCCGATTCCATCTATAGAAGGCAGACATTCTTATTAATGCCAGGCACCATAATTGTCATGTGGAGCTGCATTCCTGGTCCTTGTGTCTGGGCCCAGACACAAGCTTTCCCACTTCCTGGAACCTAATTCCTCCCTCGTACCTCAGGTATATGGCTGCCAAATCTCTAAACATTTCCCCTTTGCAGCTTTGATCCCACCAGGGAGCTATGGCACCCTCACCATGTCCATCAGGTTCTTCAGACTCTCTCTGTCACCCAGCAAGGCCAGGATACTGTGGAACAAGACATCCTGAATGTTTTTCGGGACCCAGGCCAATGCCACCAAATTCTCAGAAACCTCCTCTTGTAGAAGACTGAAATCTGTCCTCAGAAAATGACCAGAAAGCAGAACAATTCTTTAGTTGGCAAAGCCCTGAGATCATAAAACCTTCCTCATCCATAGATCCAAATTTCTCTGTCCCACTCAGCTCCTGATCAAAATGTTCTCTGCTCATGGCACACTTAGGCTCTGGCAATGAAACCATTCTAAGAGGCTAGAAAGGTAGGCAATCCCAGTGTGCTGGAAGTGAAGGATAAATACTGGGAGCAGCCATAAAGATTCTGATACTAAATCACTATAAAGTGGAAGACAATGACCAAACTGTCATTCTGGGATAGACGTGAATAGTGTAAAATCTAATGTATTTTATTTTCATCTAAAAATGGACAACTCCAATGCTCTGGGATCCATTTCCATACCTGGCCACCAGAGACACTGTGAGGATTAACGTGTTTGTGTTTGTAAGGTGCCCAGCACATACAAGCCACCTTATTGTCTCACAGCTCTGCCGCATATTCAATGTCTAAAGCATGAAATAAGTGGAGGATGTTTGGAGCTTTCTGATTCTCTCGTGAGGCTTCAGGTAGCCTCAGGTAATGCACTAAGTATGCTCCAAAGAGGTGGGCCATCTCCCTGTTTAATTAATTGACAAATAACAGGTGCTACAGTAATGACCGCTGCCCAGGGAGCCAGCAGTAAGTGTTAACTGCATGGGTGTATGAGTTAGAGGATCTAACTGACATACACACTTGGAAGTAGACCTCAGTTTGCAGACTTTCATGGAGACCTCCAAGTTCAGTAATCAACCTTCAGGTTCCCACCCAGAAACTCAGGATCCCTCCCTCTTAACAAACACTCACCTTGCCCAAAAGGTTCTGCTAGTCTTCCTAGAAAGAGAATCAAAAAATGACCTTCATCGCCAAATTTGCTTTGGGGGAACTCTAGAGGAACTGCCCTACTACCACATTCCCCCCAATGTTTGTCCTCTTGCTCCCTCCACAGTTTTCTATCCCTCAGACCTCCTGGACTGTCCCCATTCCACAGGACCCATAGTCAAGGCACAGGATAGAGCAACCAGGCAAGGGCCAGCTGCACAGTGAGTTCAGGGTGGGGTCCATGTCTCCACCGCAGCAGACCCTCACTCACCTATTGGAAGGATGGGACTTAACTCCAGTGCTAGAAAGAGAAAATCAAAGCCCCACCCAAGAGTTAGTGTAAGAGATTTGGTTTCCCAAACTCTGCCTCTCATTTCCCTGTCCTCTCTTCTCCACCTGCCCCTCTCCTATGCCCCTCCCATATGCCCAGGGCCTGGACTGTACGACTGCGTAATGACAGCAAAGGCCTAAGGTGGGTTCCCTTCATGTAGACTGCAGGATCCAGTTCTGCTGTCTCTGCATCTCCCACTGACAGCCTTTCAGCTGGGCTGTGCAAGGAGGTGACTATGGGTGCTGGGGAATGTGTGCCCCAGACGGGAAGGATGCTGCTCCTCTCACAGCGGACAGGCAGAGCAGCAGAGGTGGTATGCATTGGCCTTTCCTGCTCTTTCTCTCCAGAAGTAACCCCTGCCTCCCTTGGGGGTTCCTGCTTGCTGCAGGCTTTCTCCTTACTGAATAGCCCACTGCTCCCGTAAAGCTGTATCTCCTCTGTATAACGCCTTGTAGGTTGCTCTGGAAAGACAAAAGGAAAGGTTCACTCATGAGAATTATACTCCCTCCCCTCTTCTTCCCTTCTTCCCTTTCCTCTCACCTTTCCAGCTCCTCCCCACTTCCTCTTGTTTCGCACTGTATACCAGTACTTCAATAGAGAAATGTCTCCTTGGGCTGATGACCCCCCCCAACAAACTTGCACATATCCCAGAATTCACAGGACAAAGGCTGGTTTCCCTTAGACCCTGGGGTCTGAAGCTGGGTTGAGGAAGAGGCCCGTGGCATGGGATGGAGAGGCCTGGCATGCAAAGGTTTCCTGTGGCTCAACCCAAGAAATGCTCACATAGCACTGAAAGGGGATCAGGACTCAGCAGGGCACTGGGACTCACCATTCTGAAAGGTCTTCTGCTTTGTGTCATCGAATATAAGTATGGCTAAATGGAAAAGAAACCAATTAGCATCACTGTGGTTATTCCTGCCAGTCATTCCCATTCCCTGCACTTGCAGCTTAGGGAGCTCTGTCTGCCACCTGGGATGTTTGCCAGACTGACCAGGAGCCCCTGGGTCCTATGAATCAGATCCTGTGAAGGGTACCTTGAAGTCTGAATTTTAAAGAAGCACCTTGGGTGACCATTAAGCCCTCCAATGTTCATGAGATTAAAGACATAGGCTCCCTCCTACCCCATCTTGCAGAATCATTTTCTTTAAACCTTTTCTAAGAACCTTAATATTTACTTAACAACTCCCACTCTTGCAATCTCGGATAAGTAGAGGATTCATCTAGAGAAATGGGCTGAGGTCTTAATCTTCCCTTAGTCCAGTTTAAGTGCCTGGCACTGTGAAAGGGCCCATGAAGAAGATAAAGGACTTTCCAAAGGCTGGTGACCACCAGGGGGGGACTAGGTGTCTGTGTTTACACAATTTAGACCTAACTGAACCGAGGGGAATCAATCTGTGTACAATGTACTTGATTTAGGAGAATAAATTTAATCTTCCTCTCAATCTAAAGGGAAATAATATGCAGAGAGTTTAATTTGCCATAGCACTGGCCAGAAACTTTGGAGAGAATTGGAATCACTCTGAGCATCAGCCTTCTCCCCTAAACAAGTCTCATCTCTGAGCACATGAGGAAAGGAGACACATCCGGGGAGGTGAATGATGGGTTCAGCCTCTTCACTTCTCCAGGACCCATCCTGGCCTGGCGGACAGGCAGAGACCCTGCCGGCTTATGCACCACCTGGCACCCCACTGCGCTCTAGGTGTGGTTCCTCTCTCCCCTTCCCTCACAGCCAGCTCTCCTGAGGGATCCACACTTCTCCATGAGTTCACAGCTCAGCCACTGTACCTTATCCTCCAGGGAAGCCACCTGGCCTTGACCACCAAGGAACAGGGACTCAATTCTCCCTGGATAACACCAGCGTGACCTCTGAACCAGACCATTTACTTTGTGCTTCACTGTTGTTACTATTGTTGAAAGTGGCCTCCTCCTCATCTCCTCCTTAAATTAAAAGCACTTTGACACACATTGACATCTTTACCACCACTGCCATCTCCTGGGCCTTGGCAATTGTCTCAGTCCTCTCTGCCCTGCTCCCTGCTGCACCCATGACATCTGACTGTATACAGCAGTCTTTCCTGAGAAGCCTGAGCCCACTAACTGCTCTAGGTCAGAGTCCAGCTTCCCTCCCTCCATTGCCACTGACAGATCATTGACACTAGCACTTGTCCCTGAGAAGATTTGCAGGAGGATGCCACAGGGAGCAAAGCATGCATGTAAAGGAGGGACAACCCCGTCATTTCTGAGGAGCTGAGTCTCAGCTGAATCTGCTGTTCAAGCTAGGGCTCAGTGTTAGGCAGGAGCGAACCAGGACTCAGAGCCATACTTTGTCCAGTGTTCATCACATCTGGGTATGTGGGCAGCCCACATGGGTTCAGGACCCAAGGGTTGGGGATGTTCAGGGGATAGTGAGGGAGAGATGAAGTCCTGAGTTACGTTGTCAGAACATTATGTCTACAGATTTGTGATTGTGCTGTTGTTATATTCTGGGGCTTTAGTGTGAGTTTTGGGGTCACCAAGGAGGGATGGTGGCTCCCCCTGCTGAGCTTCTGGTAGTGTCTGGATTAGGGCCTGACTTTGCCCAGTGCTAAAGACACCTCCAAACTGAGCACACTGAGTTGGGTCCCCTCCAGTGTAAGAGATAATGTTTGCTTCTTCCCTGGCAACATTTAAAGTGGTCCACAAGAGGCAGTAGCTGTGGGTGGGACAGCTGTGTGTCCCAGACAGGGAGAAATCTGCTCATCCTGCTTTCCAGACAGGGAAAGCAACAGCAACAGCACACAGCGCCCTAGCTGCTGCTGTCTGCTTCAAGAGAAGCAATGCCCACCCACCCACCTCCTTCAGTTCCTACTTACTGCAGTTTTTGTCCTTGATGACCAGCTGCTTCTTCCTGTAGGCCAGCACTGTGCCTTGAGGGACAGTCATTGTTTTTTCTCTCACTCTCTGACCTTCTCCCTGGCATTCACCCTAGGCAGAGAAAAACACACCTCTTTCTCAGCTCTTCTGAAGCAACACTAAGTGTCATTCTCACTTTTAATCATAGCAATGTATGCATAAAAATGGGCTGAGTATGTAACTCAGTGTGAAGTTCCCAGGTTCAATCCCCAATACAACAAAATTAAAATAAAATACCAAATAACTAAATCTATTTTTCATTTTACCAATGCTGAATAATCCTATACATAAGTGTTATCCATGAGGATTTTAGGGGCTGGGGATTTAGCTCAATGGTTCCGCTGCCTCCCTTGCAAACAGCAAGGTCCCAAATTCCATCCCCAGTACAAAAAAAAAAAAAAAAAAAAAAAAAAAAAGTTGCTTTACATGAGGATTTTAGAATACAGTCCCAGGTCAGAAGGCACAATATCTTGGCACATGATCCATAGGAAATAATGAGCAATCACCTCTGACCCTCCCCAGAGCAGGCTCTGATAGGATCCAATGCCCCAGGGGACATAAGCTGCCTAGGCTCGCTGTGTTTTCTGTGTCTCCATTCCATACCTTGACATAAGTGACCTGCGGGAGAGACACTTTTCCAGAAACATTGACACTGCTGTTGTCATACAGAACAGTATCTTTGGCCAATTCAACAGCTTCTGTCACCACATATAGGTTGTCTCCTCTCCTTCGGCAAACACTCAAAAATGACGGCTCTGGCTCCAACAGTTTCCTAAGGGTGCATGAAGAACAAAGGCTCAGAGTGGGAATTTGATGCCAGGACCTTCTGGGTTACACTTCTCAAGACCTAGAAGGGGCGTGATACCTTTGACAGGCAAGCCATAGGGGGTGTGTTGGATCATGAGATTGAGGTGCCTAGGACAAAGAACATTTTCTTTGCTAGGCAGCAGGGAATCAAACCCATTTTTTAATGGTGGTAAAGGGGTAATAGTGTGCATACTGTATTGCTTAGGGCACCTGAATTTTACTAAATTACACTGGTCTAGTAAGGGACAATTCCTACATCTCATGCCCTAAGATCTCTCAAACAAAAATCAGAAGTAGATGGGTCTACATGATTAAGAACTATCCTGATAAGGTCCTCTTTTCAAAGTTGAGTATACATACAAACATGTCTAGGTTACAATCAGAGTGGGATATGGAGCAGGACAAGTATTGCTGTGCATAGTGGGGTACACCTGTAATCCCAGCACTTTGGGAAGCTGAGGCAAGAGGATATCTGCAAGTTCAAGACCAGCATAGACTACATACTGAATTCAAATTCAAGACCAGCCTGAACTACACAGCAAGACTCTGCCTCTTTAAAAAAAAATGACAAATATGACCTAGGAGGGAGAAGGCTGGATGGTTTTGTGGTAACAAAGATGGGATTTTAATGCCTAAGCATGCATACCAGGTGGATAGGTGGATGATAAAAACATTGTATTTCTCATGGGTGAGACAGGTTTGGAATACTAAAAACAGATTTCGTCTCCATTTAGTTCTGACGCTCAATTTTAAATCTACTCAAAATCCCAATGGAGTAGGTGTCCTGGCTCAGCAACAACAAAAATAGAAATGAGAAGACACCTAAACAAGGCACAAGCCCAGGCTTCCAGCTAACCACAGGCAAATTCTGGGAGCAATGGAGTGGAAAAAAAATCTTATAATGAACCATCTGGACATGCTGAACTGATAGCATGGGAAGTAACAAAACAGATGAACAAGGTCCTAGAAGAATTCAAAACAGAAGTAATTTCCCAGAGAACTACACAGATGGTGAGTAGAAAGAAAGACATGATTAGAGACTCTAGAAAAGAAACACATAAAAAAATACTAGATGAGGTCAGGACAATGATGGAAGCCATGAATACCCAGCATAGGAAAGAAATGGAAACAATGAATGCCCAACATAGTAAAGAAATGGATTCCATAAAACATATTCAAACATATATCCAGGATTTTTTTAAATTCCACTGAAAGTATTCACAGCAGATTGAGCTAATGTGAAAATAGAATACCAGGTATAGTAGACAGGACTGCAGTTAGTGACCATGAAAAGAGAGATTTCTTAAAAAATAGTAAGGGACCATGAGAAATCAATCCAGCGGCTGCTAGATGATGCAAAGAAGAGTAACATAAGACTGATAGGAGTCCATTAAAAACCAGGAGAAAGTACAAATGACATAAAAAAAACTGTTCATGGAATTAATGGCAAAAAACTTCCCAAATAGAGGAAAACAATTAGACATACAGATACATGAGGCATATAGGACTCCAACTAGCCATGATCAAAAAAAAAAAATCTACACCTAGACATATATAAGTCAAGATCCCAGAAACCCAACAGAAGAACAAAATATTAAAAGCAGTTAGAAAAAAGAAACAAATCACATACAAAGGAAGACCCATCAGAATCACAACAGACTTTTCAATGAAAACCCTCAAGTCAAGGAAAGCCTGGAGTGAAGGATTTCAGGCCCTAAAAGAAAATAACCTCCAATTTAGACGGATGTGTCCTGCAAAATTATCTTTCAAAATCCAGGGGAAATTAGATACTTCCACAACAAAGAACATATGACAAGCTTCATGAATACCAAACTAGCACTCCAAACAAATCTAAACAATATCCTACAAAAGGACAATGGTAGTGACAACTCCATCAGACCAAACAGAGTGAAGCTATCAGGCAAGGCAAGAAACTAAAGGGAAAGGGGGGAAAAGAAAAAAGAAAAGAGCCAACAACAGGAAAAGATCATGACAAGGATGAGTCCATACATATCAATTATAATCATTGATGTTAATGGTCTCGACTCACCAATCAAAAGAAAAAGACTGGCAGAATGGATTAAGAAGCAAAATCCAACAATATGTTGCATAAAAGAAACACAGCTAAATCAAAAGAAATTCATAGACTGAAAGTAAAAGGATAGAAAACAGTTCTTCATGAGACAGGAACCCAGAAAAAAGCAGAGATAACTATCTTATTGGAAGACAAAGTAGATTTCAAACCAAAACTAATTAAGAGAGACAAAGAAGGTCACTACATCCTTGTAAAGGAAACAATCCAACAGGAAGAGATGAAAATCATAAATACATATGCACCAAATAATAGTGCCCCCAACTGCACAAAACTAATATTAATGGAAATGAAAAACCAGATAAGCACTAGTATAATTGTAGTGAGGGAATTCAATTCCCCACTGTTGCAAATAGATCATCTAAACAAAGAAATCAACAACAAAATACTAGAAGTAACAAAGCTTTTGAACAAATGGACTTAATAGACGTCTACAGAGTGTTCCATCCCACAAAATCAGAATATACATTTTTTTCAGCTGCACATGGGTCATTCTCCAAAATAGACTGCATCCTAGTTCATAGAACATGTTTAATTAAATGCAAAGAAATTGAAGCTATCCCCTGTATATTACCAGACCATTGTACAATTAAATTGGAGATCAACAGCATAAGAAACCACAAGAACTAAACTAACACATGGAAATTGAACAACACTCTCCAGAACAATCAATGGGTCACAGAGGAAAGTGAAGAAGAAATTAGTTTCTACAATTAAATGACACTGCCAATACAACATACATGAATCTATGGGACAAAATGAAAACAGTTCTATAAAGGAAATTCATAGCAGTGAATAGCCATACTATGAAAACAGAGCAAGATCCAATAAACAACCTAATGCTGAAACTCAAGCTCCTAGAAAAAGAAAAGCAAGACAAACCCAAAGCTCATACAAAGGAGGAAATTATAAAGATCAGAGCAGAAATCAATGCAATGAAGACTAAGAGAATGATACAAAAAAATCAACAAATTGAAGAGTTGGTTTTTTGAAAGAATAAAGAAAATCAATAAACCCTTATCCAACTTTATCGAAAAAAGGAAAGAAAAGGCTCGAATTCATGCAATTAGGAACAAAAAAGGTGAAGTCACAACAGATTCAGGAGAAATCCAGGGGATCATCAATACCTACTTTGACAACCTGTACTCTAATAAAATGGAAAACACAGAAGAAATGGACAGATTTCTAAATATGTATGAATTACCAAAGGTGAATGAAGAGGCTATAAAAAATCTGAACACCCCAATTTCAATCAGTGAAATTGAAAACATAATTTAAAATTTACCAAGAAAGAAAAAAGCCCAGGTCCTGATGGTTTCACTGCTGAATTCTACAAGACATTTAGAGAACTATTGTGACCACTCTTTAAACTCTTCAATGAAATTGAAAGGGAAGCAATACTCCCAAATTCATCCCTGGAAGCAAGTATTACTTTCTCTCCAAAAGAAGAGAAAGACCCAGCCTAAAAAGAGAACTACAGGCCGATCTCCCTAATGAACATAAATGCAAAAATCCTCAATATGATACTAGCATACAGAATGAAGAAGATCGTCAAGAAGATCATACACCCTGACCAAGTCAGATTTATTCCAGGGATGCAAGGATTATTCAACATATGTAAATCAACAAATGTTTTGTTAGTATACTATACTAACAAAAACCATATGATCATCTCAATAGATGCAGGAAAGCACTAGACAAAATCCAATACCCATTCATGATTTAAAAAAAAACAACAACAGAAAAATGGAATAGATGGTCTTTTTCACAACCTGATAAAGGTTATCTATGAAAAACCAACAGCCAACATCACACAAAATAGTCAAAAACTGAAATCATTCAAACTAAAATCAGGAACAAGACAAGGATGTTCACTATCACCATTCCAATATAATTCTGGAAACATTAGCCACAGCAATTAGACAAAGGAAAGAAATAAAAGGAATAAAGACAGAAAAGGAAGAAGTTAAACTGTCATTATTTGTTGATGATATGATACTGTACATAGAAACCACCCCCCCAAAAAAAAACTCCACCAAAAGACTTCTAGACTAAATTGACAGATTCAGTAGAGTAGCTGGATACAAGATCAACACTCAAAAATCAATAGCCTTCCTGTACATAAAATAATAGAGTCACTGAGAGAGAAATTAGGGAAACAATTCCTTGCACAATACCATCCAAAAAAATGAAATATCTAGAAATCAATCTAATGAAGGAAGCAAAAGACCTTGAAAACTACAGCACTCTGAAAAAAGAGATCGAAGAGGACATAAGAAAATGGAAAGACATCCTTTGTTCCTGGGTAGGAAGAACCAACATAGTGAAGATGGCCATACTTTCAAAACTGCTATATAGATTCAATGAAATCCTGATTGAAGTCCCAAAAGTATATTTCACAGAACTAGAGAAAACTATTCAAAAATTCATTTGGAACAAGAAGATACATAGAATAGAAAAAGCAATTCTAGGCAACAGATATATGACAGGGGGTATCACAATCTGCAACTTGCATTTATACTACAAAGCCACTGTGATAAAATCAGTATGGTACTGGCAAAGAAATGATCAGAGGATGAGTGGCACAGATTTAAAGATGCAGACACAATTCCAGACATACTCAGTCACCTCATCTTTGACAAAGGAGCCAACCATCCTTAACAGAGGAAAGATTGCATATTTAATAAATGGTGTTGGAAAAACTGGATTTCAATTTACCAAAAATTAAAACTATACCTGTATCTTTCACCATGCACTAAAGTAAAATTAAAGTGGATAAAGATTTAAATATTTAAACAGAAACACTGAACTTGCTGGAAGATAAGTTAGGTAGAACTCTTAAAGACACTGGCAATAGGAAAAGATTTTATGAA